ATAAAATTTATATGTAATATTCTACATAGAATATTAAATGCTAGATCTTTACATTAATACTTTACCTCTGGTTGATATTCTATAAATATTGTAATATTAAATAATATGATTTTATTAAAACTGCAAATGATTTCTGAATGTATAATTATCTTTAAAAAGTTGTAACTAATTTAAATCTTTAAATAAACAAAATAAACATGGAATATGATGGATAGATGAACAATAAGGCAGATATCAATCTGCTGGTCTGTAGGTCCAAGTTCAAGTCTACATTGAAACCTTAAAAAAATCTTTATGGTGATTTAATCTAGATATATCTAGCCATGCCTCTCACTATCTGTCTTCATTATGGGCTTGACAAATTAATAATGGACATAAAAAATATCCTTTTAGTGTTCACAGGATAATAAGAGTTAAAAAAAAATATTAAAGTTATTCTTTGCAAGATGGAAATATCCTAACTTCAACAGTAGTGTAATAACATTAGAAATAAATCAAATACATCTATTTTAATTGTATTATTTCATAATACAAAAAAATAATCTTTCCAATTTTTCCCTTTGAGATACGTTTGCAATTGCCATATCATATAACTTTAAATGTAGAACATTGAATAAAAAGGTTTAAAAAATCTTTAATTGCTTTCTATTAGTCTAAAAATATTTTATTGCTTGACAAATCTTTTATATTATAATTTATAATGATTATTTTTTGAAATATTGATATCTTTTTTAAGTTTGTTTCAGTCAAAAATACATAATATACTGGAAATAAATCATATTTGGGGATTATTATTATTTTAATTAACTGTTCAGGATGAATATAATGATCAATACATAATCAGAAAGAAAATTATAAATCAAATTTGCTTTAAGCTGTTTCATTTCAGGGCTTCACTAATATGGCACTTTTCAATTATATTCATGTTTGTTTTCAGCATTTGCTTTGCTTTTAAAGAGGATTTTTGGGTATTTTTAAATTTATTATTTTTGCTTTTGCATTGTGATTTTAGGCCTAGCACTATTGCACACTCAAATAATAGTATAAATATGTTTAAATATTTTTATATGTTCTGACAAGTGAAAAAAAAGTTGTATTTCTACTTTAACGCAAATATAATACTTTAATACTGCCTATAACAGTGGTCTAGAACTCGCTCATTGTATCAGCAAGATATATCTACATTGTATAAAATTTTATATAATGCAAGAACGAATTTTAAAATTTAAATATCAATTCTATAATTAAAAAGCATTATACACAAATTTCTATTTCAAAAATCCAATATTTGGATGCTAATTAGACTGTCACAAAATCACATAAATTGAACAGATCAGGAAAGAATAAAAGAATATAACATTGTAACAAAATTTAACTGCAAATTCATACTCTCCAATATCATTTGTTTTCAAGCTGGCTTCTGTTACATCTCAAGGTTTCACAGTAAACTTCAAGCAATGTCTAAAGATTTTCTAATGCTCACTAATTCATTTAAAGTTTAAATAAGTTATTAGGTATTAAGTATGTCGTATATAAAGTTAGAAGGCCAGCTTTAAAAAAGATTGAAAACCATTGGCCTAAACAATAAAGCCATACAAATTGTTTTCCTTCACTTATTTACTGACTCAGTATAAGCTTGATGTAAATAATTTATGACAAAACTTATGCAGTACTTTAGAAATTATTTTCAAATTGCTAAAATTTATACAAATTGTTTTCTTAGATTTTTGCCTTGACAATTTTTTTTCTTTCCATTTATTAAATTTGATGTGTATTGTGAAAATTCATTTACATGTAAATATATTTATATTCAGATCATATTCTGATGAAACAATTGTTTTTTTTTTTTTCTGGAGTATGACAAGTTGAAAATTTCGTTCTTTACTTCTTATGCAGTTTATAATCATCATTAATGGGAAAAAATTGGTTAAATTTTAACCGACAGATGCCGTTGTACAGTACATATAACTAAAATTTTATAACTGCTTATTGTATACATAAACGTACGAGCGTACCATGTGCACCATAAGCTCCCATAATAACTGCAGTAGCCCCAAATATTCCTGCAATCCGCACAAAAACTTTACCACTAGAAGTCATAAACGATTGCAGATCTTTCTTTTCCAACATTTTTATGAGTTCTCCATTCGATTGTTGCTTAGCTTGGGGTATTGGTTCCGAAGTCTTTTCCACCGATTTCTTTGGCATAATCTCCTTAAAATTTTTCCAAATAGAAGCTTGAAAATCACCAACTATACCCATTCCCTTAATCTCACTAATTAAAATGAAAAATAATTCAAAAGCGTTACGTAGAAAGAACTACGATTAACTAAATATCAAGTATCCGAAAACAATTCTCGCGACTGACGTTGCCAGAAGAAATGTGGATAAAGCAATAAATCGTTTCATTCAGTAGAAATTCGTAGGTTATAGATTTTCGTTTTAAATGTTTGTCCATACTAGGCTGCCCTTCAAATGGATTTTTTTCCCCTTCTATTCGCCAATTTTTTTAAAAATTTTTACGTTTATTATCTAAAAGACTAAATACAACGTGAGAAAGTGTAATGCCAAGTAAAAAACTCTTGTGTATGCGCATTTTTGACCTGATATAAACATGGGAATAATTAGCTAATTGCTCGATTGATTAGTAACGCAAAGCACCAGAGCTGTATGGAATTTGGCCGCTCATTGTGGACGAGATGTAACTTCTAACCCAGAATAGGATTGACCGGGTAGTGAGGAACTGGGCTCGACATATCCGGGCTCAAGCACTCATGAAAAACTTTAAGGAGTTAAAAAATTGTCTATGTATAATACATAAACCAAACCATCAAAAATAAATATAATAAAGACACCATTTGTCTAAAGTTAGGCAGATTGTCTGGCAGATACTACAAACTCAATACAACTATTGTATACGAACATAGCAATTACTACATAAAACGCATATCAAATTTATCATTAAAAACCAACTTATTTAATTGTCATTATATCTGTCAAATCATCACTGTTGCTTTTTTCTTATACTTATTAGTTAAATTAATAAGCTTCAATAAATCTTTCATTACACTGGTTTGAAAACGTTTTTCATTTTGCAATTTCTTGTAATGTTTATTAAATTTATGTAAAATGTCCTTAAATTCTCTCTGAAGACAATTTATTTTTTAGTTAGTTTATTAATTAAATTCACTTCTGAAAGACTACATTTTACATTTCATCACAAAGGTGCAGCGAGACTGGTGAGGGACGGGGGCCGATATATATTTGCGATAATCTGCTCAAAGATTCCTAGGGTTTTTCGTCCGCTCGGACTGGATTCCGGGTCCTAGACAGGCACAGTAAGTACCGCCTCGGCCATATTCGACTGTCTTTAAAAATAAAAAGATACAGTTTGATCATTTTTGTATACGTATGATTATATCGTCCTTTAAAATCTTTTAATAATTAATTCTTAACTGAGACATTATTAATTTACGCCAGTAATAGAAATGTGTCCATTAGTGGCCGAGTGGATATAATACTGAATAACACGTGGCCAGCCCGTTGTTTGAGAGTTCGCGCTTCACCAACGAGCTAGCCATTATTTACTATTTGGTTTATTAATTTGTTTGTTTACTATTTGGATAATAAACGGATAGCACTAAGTAATTAATTAAGAATTTTTATGGAATTATTGAATGAAATAGTTTTCTCGTCTCTACACGAATAGATTCCGTAATCAAACGATACATATTAAAAGCTCTATCGAAACTTTTTAACTTGACCAAAAAAACAGTGTTTTTTAATTTTTTAAAATAAAAATACATCAAAATGACATATTATACGTGTAAATGATAATGATTAAATATAATAAAATAATTTTTTAAGCTATTTAATAAAGTTTGTTTGAAATTTAGTAAAAATGTTTTTTGCATAATTTTTCAATAAAAGAAAAATGGTCGATTTAAGTTAAAATTTAATATTTGAGCATTTTGAGCAAACAAAATTTGATCTTTAACAATTTATCGCGTATCAATTTGAATATAAATTGGAAAATTATTACTGAAATATATTCCTGTTAATTAAAAATTAAAGCATTTTTTTCTAATCGTAATATTAATAAAATATATATATATATATATATATTAGTTGAGAGTAAACATGTCACGTTGACTTTAGTTGTTTGTTTCACGCCGTGAAATATACACTAGCTACACACTTTGCATCGTGTCTTTTTAAACGAGACAAATTTTGAATTCATTGAAAGAAAAACATGTTTAGCGGAATAATTTCCAAAATACATTATATAAACAATGATTCCGATCGTATAAGTCGAAAACTTCATACAATGGCGTGTGGTATGTTTAATTGAATATTTTAAAGAGTAGAGGGGAAACAATTGTAATACTTGTCTTCACAGTTAAGAGTTTTACTGTTAAGAATAAAAATTAATTTGCTAAAAACATAGCATTCTAAAGATCNATTTAACTTTTTCATGCTCTTAATCTTTTTAGTACCAAGGTGACTAAACCATGTACTGTACAGTAGAATCTTGTTTTAACAGATTGCAGGACAACAGGTTTCTTGGAATAGTGGATTTTTTCCCAGGTCTTGCCAAATCAATATAATTTTATCTCCTTTTAGCAGATCTATAACTTGGAATAACAGATTTTTTCTAGTCCAGTCTATTGTAAACTTTGCATTTTTTCAATGTTTAGTTAATATTTGAGTGTTTCTGACTGATATACAGACAATTCAAGAACTGTTCAAAGAGAGTCAGCAGGCTGATAAGGTTGAGAAAGAGCCACCTAGTGAACATTCTGACACTGGTGCAAGTATAGTGCCAAAATTTAGTGAGGCCATCAAATTCACTCACTTCATTAGTGAGTGAATTTTTGTCTTTCCAAATAAATAAATAAACAAACAGAATGTACATGAATATCAAGCAGTTGTTGTATTCAATTGTTTGAAAAGTTACATCAAAACAGAAGAAAATGGCCAAGTCTTTTAACAAATCAAAGTCAAGTGTAGTGCTAATGAGCATATGTAATTTACCTCTTTTTATGCTCACAGTATATACAGGTTCTGTCAGCTTTGTCATATACACATACAGCGTAATACTGTATATGCTCTTGTAGCATATTGTGTTGCTATAGAATAAAGAATTGAGATCTCAAAAGACTGAATAATTTCAAGTAATGGTACTTTTTACATGTAGGAGATTTAAAAATAATTGAAATTTTTCCAGTAAAGAAGATGGAAGAGAATAATAATTGGTTACATTATGTGCAATTAAAAAGTTAACTTCTTTTTCTGTAAAAATGAAAATACCTGTCCTTGCAATTAGCATCTGGATGTTCATTGGAATGACTGTTTTAGGTGTCTTTGGATATATATATGTCCTCTGGAATCAATATTGGAGGTTAACCTTAGAAAAGCATCAGATGTTGATCAGGAACTTTAGAAAGTCGTCGTATTCGCGAGAAATTGCTGGAAAAGAAATACCTTTAAGGCATTTTCCACATATGCCTCATATTGCTAAGCATTTTGAAAATTCTTCATCACTGGTAACTAGTCGATATAATTTATCTAAAGTGCCTACCGATAAATTAATGAGCAAAATTAATACTTACAAGAATCAATTAATAGTTCAGTTAAGAAAATCTCAACTTGATGCTGGTAATGTTATATTTGATAAAAAGGATAAAAATCGATATAATGTAAATTTTAAAGGTCAAAGACCTCTTTCGTATAAAACAGCGAAAGCATTAGTTTGTGAGGCAAAAAAAGTTATTAAAATTGAAATGTTAACTCAAAATACAGAACCATTTAAGAGTTTAGGTTTTGGACGGCTGTTTCCTTCTCAACCCATCAATAAAGTCCTGGGAAAATTTCAAACATGTGCTATTGTGTCCAGTGCTGGTTCAATGTATAAATCTAAACTTGGGAAAGAAATAGGTAAATTTTAACTTTCATAGTTATTGAAACTTTAAAATAAATAACATATCTTTTAAGATGATAATAATTTATAATTTAGGAGAAAGATATTTTTAATATGATTTGAGAGTATTTATACAATACATTTAAATTTAGTCTTCTGCAGTTTTTTATTTTTTCAATTATATTGGTTATATAAAATGATTATAAGTCATCCTGACAGGTAAGTATATAATGTATTTTGCTATCATAAAGACTACTTGTGGTTTCTACTATTATCTTTGATACAAGCAAGCCTTCTGTGTTTTTTTTAACCTACATTATTCTGCTGCTGAATAAGTTAAACATCTTTAAAAACCATTATTAATTAAAACAATAATTTTTTTGTGAACTTTTTTTAATTTTAATAATTTGGATTTGCATGTCAACTATTTAGAATTGATCTTCCAATAAGAAAAAATTTTGAGACCAGCACTCCAACATTTCAATACATTAATTAGATTCCTGACATTTTTCAAATGATTTTTTAAGTATGTTACTCATCTTCTTTGTGATATACTTAGAAGTCACAATCCTACACAATTGTTTATATTTATGCAGCAAAATGCATATTATATATAGTGCACAATTTTATATATAAGTTTTTTTGCTTGTTTCTTTTGATTTTATTACTTAATAAGTGTTTAAAAATATTACATCACTGTATTTTTTTACATAGTATATATTACATGTTGTAAAATTTAAAAAAATATTTTGTTTTTCAAAAATGAAAATATAGATAGTAAAAACTTTTAAGTAGGTTTTATATATCTCTTTGTTATATAATGTACACAAATATATGTATGTTATGTTTACGATATATTGTATTAGTGATTTATTTAATTCCTGTATTTGTTTTGCTCTTTAATGCAAATTTATTAGCAGTGATTTGAAACCAAAACATTTTTTTTATTTATAAATACATAAGGGATTTTTTTTTTATCATGTTTGCTTTTTTATTTTGTTTTCTCCAGCCAGCCTTACAGACCAAACATCCATAACCAAATCTATTTAGTAAACTTCTTATATTTCTATAAGAATATAAAAGCTACATTTTGTTTAGGAAAAAATGTACTTTGAGAGAAATTGTTAGTTTTTAATAATATTGATTGGAAGATTTTCATTACTTTCAAATGTTTATAATAATTTTGTTTATATGATATATTATATAAAGATTATTAAAAACTAAATGCATATAAACAAAAAGAAATTACCATTATATTGGTGCAAGTATAATTTTTTTCTTAATTATTTTTATCATTAATAAATGGAAAGAAGAAAAATTTTAAATTATATTGTAAAGAATAAATACAGTAGTTTTGAACAATGAAAACAATGAAGTAAGAATTTAAAAAAAAAAACTTTATATTAAATTTTTGAATGTAAACAAATTATTTTTAGACAATAATATCTTAAACAAATTTATATAACAAATCTCAGTTAGTTATGAATAATATATAAAACTGATGAACCACAGACATTTATTGTCTGCAGTTTATCAGTTTTATATATTATTCATAACTGAGAAGAAAAATGAAATTTTATTGACCAATATATTTTAAAACTAATTTGTCACTCTTCTAATATAAAAAGTATTTTTATGCCTCAATAACAAAAAATTATCATTAAATAAAAAGTCTATCTTTTCATATTAGCTCTTTTACTAATATTTTGCAGAATGAATCAATGTAATAAAACTGTGATAAATTTATATTTTATAAAAACTTAAACATTACTAATTACAAATTACCAATTACAGATTACTATTATTGTATTTTAATATTAAGATCATTTCTGATTATCATCATTCTTATGATAAAACAATTTTTTTAATTATGATTTTCTAAATTCTGAAACTAATTTTTATTTTGAAATATTTTAAATAAAATTTTTAAAAATTTCGGTTTTAGTAAATTATGAATTATTTACTGAAAACTTTTAAAAGATTTTACTAATACTCAAAATATTTTGCATTAAAAATTCAACAATAATTTCTTTAATGTTTATAAAAATATAGTATTTATTTTATTTCTGATGTAACAATATATGTTTTCAGTATTTTCATTCCATTTCACCTTCCTTTACTTCTTGTTTCATTAATTTATGTTTTAATGAAATTAATAATGGATAATTATTAGAAAGCATATTGAGTTGCTGATTTATATTAATTTTCTACAAACAATCCTGTTTTAGGATTATACTAGTATCACAACAAGGGAACAAAAGTAATTTTTTATACAAAGGACTTTACAAAGATAAAATATATATGGTAAATAAAAATAATTTATGATGATGTCAAAATGAATGAAGTTAAATTGATAGTTTTGCTTCTCACTTTCACTGAAGACATTTTCAAACTTTAAAAATTTCAACAGATTCTAATTTTTGTGAACTTGAAAAATATCTTAAATGAAAATAAATACAAAAGCATTAGCTAAATTTTGCTTTTAATTTATTTTAGTATCATTATACATCATATTTATAAATTAGCTTTATTAATTAATAGCTAAGAAAATCATTTGAAGAATGTTTGTTGAAAAAAAGAAAAAAACAAAAGAAAATTGAATAACCAAAAATCACTTTATTTTTTAAGAAAAATGAAGCAGAAAATTCTACAAAGCAGTAGACATATACAAGGGGGCAGTCAAAAACTTTCCAGAATTTACTTACAATTAGAAATTGTGATATAAGATAAGGTTATACATTGCTGTGGCAGGAAGCTTAGCATGTCTATTTGTAGTGTGATAATGCTTGTGCAAGTTTAGACTTACACAGTTGTTACTGTAGTGTCTTTGTTGGGCATAACAGCTTATCATTTTGCGCAATGTCCCAGTTCGAGCGGTCAAATATAAAGTTCATGTGCAAATTGGGGAAAACTGATGCAGAGATGCTATCGGTCCTGCATCAAGTTTATGGGGATGAGGCCCAACAAGTGGCATGGACAGTAGTTTCTCCATCACGACAATGCACTGAGTCACACATCACTTGTTGTGCAGCAATTTTTCACCGACAAAAGCATTCCTGTCATCACCCAGTCACCTTACTCTCCAGATCTTGCTCCCAGTGACTTTTGGCTGTTCCCTACTCTCAAAATGGGCCTCAAAGGAATGTGTTTTGCAAGCAGGACATCATATCAAATATGATGGCCTAACTCTGGAAGATTCCTAAGAAAGCATTCCATGCCTGCTTTCAACAGTGGCAGGATCAATGGAACAAGTGTGTCTGTGCAGGAGGGGCCTATTTTGAAGGTGATTAGGTCTGCATTGCCATATCTTGTACCACTACAGTATAGGATCACAATTCCAGGAACTTTTTGACTGCTCATCATATATATAATTTCCATTATATATAATCAATATAATCATTCTTTTCTAATGCAAAATGTGATTTTAAAAAAAAGACTATTTTTAATTTAGTAATTAGGAAATAAATAAATGCAAAATTAAATAATTTGTTATAATGTAAGTTAAACAATTCAGACAATAAATGTACAGAGACATAACAGTCTGTAGTTTGTATTGTGTTAATAATAATTTTGGCAAATTTAACCATGATAAACAATGAGAATTTACTGAATTAATTATAAATGTTGTTATAAAGTTTTTTGAAATTTAAAAGACAGTTTTATTTATCTTTACATTTATATTTACAGATGCACATGATGCAGTATTACGATTTAATAGTGCACCTACAGAAGGTTTTGAAGATGACGTTGGTACAAAAACTACTATTCGTATTTTGAATTCTCAAGTTGTCTCTAAACCAGAATTTGATTTCTTTCAATCACCATTATATAGAAATGTTACAATGATTGCTTGGGATCCTTCCAAATATCATGGAAATTTAACATATGTAAGTTTAATCAAAAATATTGATTTTTAGTTTTAATAAATACAATATGATCAAATGTTATATATGTTTAAAAATAAATACAGTAATAATTATATAAATATTGATAATTTTAGGTAAAAGCATAATTCTGTATACAGTAGAGCATCGATTATCCGACTCATTTGGAGACTCGGGTTGGTCGGATAACTGAAAAAATGGGATAACCAAAAATAATGAAAAAAATACATTATTTGTATAGTATATCCCATGTAATTTGTATATTAGCATATTGCTATTAACCATTGAATTTTCATCGATGTTAAGCTTAACAAATTTTTTAAAAATAATAATCGTTGCCATTGTATCATTAAAAATTATTTTATTGCTCACAAAACAACCACTCATAATTAGAAAATTAGGTCTTGTTTAAATACTGGTCTCCCTTTCATGGTTGAGCCAGTGTTGCCAGCTAAACACGCAAAAATTTAACAAAAATAATATTAAAGTAGCCAAGACATAGCCAAATATTGTAGCGCCACATCACTAGCGGACATTTGAAATTTGCCGACTAGAACGGTCGGTTAACCGATGTGACGGTTAATTGGGGGTAGGATAATCGATGCTCTACTGTATTTGAAATAATGCAATTGATATTTTGTCATGTTTTAATAATTTTTTTTATCAGAAAACTTTATTTTTATTTGAATAATTTTAAGTTTGTAATTACACAAATAAATGTCTAAAAAGTTTAGTGTTTTTGAAATATTTACTCATTTTAGCAAAATATGTAAATATGAAAATATTTCATTATTTACTATTAAAATTTTCTGAAATACATATCTATTATTAATATAGTATAATATGAATGAATTGAACATTTCAATATTTTGTAGCATATTTTATATACAAGAATCAAAATTCAAATCATGAATATTTTAAATTAAAATGAAATAATATAAATGCAAAAAAAAGTTTCTTATATTTTTTCTTATTATCATGATTTTTTTTTATAAATAATTTTTTAAATAATATGTAAAATAAATTCTTGATTTTCAGTGGTATAAAAATCCTGATTTTGATTTATTTACTTCATATTGGATAAGAAGGAAAATGTATCCAGATGAATCATTTTATATTTTAAATCCAGAAGTTCAGTGGATTGCATGGGATTATATTCAAAAAAACACTCCAGGTCATGTTGAACCAAATCCACCTTCTTCAGGTTTTCTTGGTAAATATATCTGTTATTTAACCTTTACTTAATAAATAAAACTTTCTGTTTTTAATTTCATAATTACATCTGCTATCCTCAGTTATCCAACTTCCTAGGTACTCAAACATTTTTACCTTTTCTATTTTATTTCCATCCAACATAATATGTAGATCTTTGTTTTCTTCTCTTGAGATTATCATAACTTTCATTTTTTTCACATTTATTTTCATTTGGTACCTTGCTTTTCTCACTTCTTTCAATCTATCTAGAATTTTCTGTAATCCTTCTTAAGTGATACATAACAGAGCAATGTTGTCAACATACCTGATGTTATTGATAAGATGTCTATTAATTTTTACACCTTCATCTAAATTTTCAAATGCTTCTCTTGTCATCCATTCACTGTAGATGCTAAAAAAAAGTGTTGGGGACAAACCACATCCCTGTCTTATTCTTTTTTTGAACTGAATCCATTTGGTATTCTCTCCACAAAATCTGACCATTGCTTTTTGACTTTTATAGATGTAGATTATTCTCAGTAATTTTTATCAATACCTACTTTTTGCAGAATTTCAAACAACAGAGTTTGATTAGCACTATCAAAAGCCTTCTTGAAGTGAACAAAACATACAAATAACTCTCTATCATGATCACTCATTCTTTCTCCTATAAGTTGTATCATTGTAATGGTCTCCCTTGTCCCTCTGCCTCTTAGGAAACTGAAATTATGACTCATCTAGTTCCCAATTTATGTAGTTTTCTATTCTTCACTGTATATTGTTAACTAAAACCTTTGAGGTATGGTTTATCAAGCTAATAGTTCTGTGTTTATCACAGTCTAAGGTACCCATAGTTTTAGGAACAGGGATGAAGATAGATTTTTGAAATCATCCAGAATATATGCCTCTAAAATTTGGTTAAAAAAATTAGTTAGGATTCTTGTTTTATCTTTCCCCATAGCTTAAGGAGTTCTGCTTGTATTTCATCTATTCTTGGTGTCTTTTTGTCCCTCAGCTTTTTCAATGCAGCATCAATCTTTTCCTTCTCCATCTCTTCTAGGTTTAAACTGTCCTTATTTCTGTAGAGATTGTCTACATATCTTTCCCATCGTAGCACTTGTTCATCTTTTCTGCAATAAAATGTCTCCATTTTTATCTCTCAGATCTCCCAATTCTGCATTTCCTTTTTTCCCTGAGATTAAGCTTAGCTTTTATTATTATTTTATTATTTTTTTAGCATATACTCTTCTTAAGTCATTCCTATTTGTGTGGTGCTCCATTTCCAAACATAATTGATTCAACCACTTTTCCTTTGCCTGTTTGCACATTATTCTTATTTGTTTAATAAAAATATAGAATCATTAATATTCTTCTGTGTTATTATCACTTTGGTATCATCATCTTTCATCCATCTTTTTACTATCTCCTCTGTGACCCAAGGCTTCTTTATTTGGCTCTCTTTCTTGCTGAGGATGTCAACTGCGGTGTCTTTATTTTTTTGTTTTAAATCATTCTAGATTTCTTCTTCACTTCTGTTAGTGTTAAAATTTTGCAGTCTTCTTGATGTGTCAGTTTGAAAAATCCTTCTTGATGTAGTTTTTCCTCAACATCTCTATATTGAGCCTTTCTTTTGCTTTTTTCGGCCTAACATGTTTCAGCCTTATTCTTAGTTTTGTTACCAGTAGACTGTGATCACTGTTGCAATCTACACCTGAACAAGTCTTCAAATTAATTATTTCATTTGTAAATCTGTAGTTGACTAGAATATAATCAATTTGGTTTCTTGTTTCTGCTCCTCTTAACCCTGGAACTCTTCATGTAGCCAGTCTTCTTTCATGCTGTTGGAACCAGGTGTTAGTTACAATTATGTTGGTTCTTCTGAAAAATTTAACAAGTCTACTTCCTCTTTTTTCTCCTAAGACTCATGGTCTAATTATGCTATCTTCTCTCCCTCTTCCAATTTTGGCATTCATTTCCCCATAATAATCAGTGCATCTCTCTTCTTTTTAAGTTGTGAACATTTGTTTATTTGTATAAAAACTTCCTTCGTCTTCTCATTTGAATGGCCATTTGTTGGCATCTATGACTGGATTAAGAAAATAATTAAACTTTTTTGTTATATATTATATATTATAACAAAATAATTAAAAATATTATATATTTTATTTATTAAAAATTTAACAAAGGAAACAAGAAATGAATATTTTCACTTTCAATGGATTTAAAAATATATGTGGGAGAGTCAAAATAAACTGAACTTTTAATATAATTTTTACTACAGTATTAAAACAGGTATTTATAACACTTCCAGTACAGAATACTCTATATTCACTTTTACTTCTAAACATTTCTGATGGTATCTGTACCACCATCATCTTTTGTGAGTCTTTAAGGCTTTTGTCTCTCCAGCTTCTACATTGTTGTTCCTAGTTAATGAACGTCTGAACAATAGGGGCATAACAATGCTTCCTCAACTTCTTTATTTCCTGATCTTGTTCCCATAGACTTTAAACTTTGTTCTCTAAAATAAGAGATATTGAAAGGTTACAGATTTCAACCAGCAGCAGAGGTAGAAACTAAACAACAATAAAAGCCCATAAAGACATTACTAAAGAATCTTCCAGGATTGCTTTGATAAATGATATGGATACCTTATCATTTATCAAAGTGGAGAAGTGTGTAGCTATAGTTAGAGCTTATTTTGAAAGTGGTGTTATGTAAGAATACTGCTTTCAAAATAAGCTTTGTGTATGTTGTGTAATAGAAAGTATCAAAAGTTTGGTGACAAATTGTACTATATACATTTTATACAAACCTGTGCAGATATTTTTGTACTGCAACAGTTTTTCTTTTTAAAAAATATTCAATAAAATATTTATTATAAAAATATTGTATTTTTTTCTCACAGAAAAAGAATGAAATTACTTTCCGAACAACCCAATACAATAAATAATAAATCTTACTTTATACTTATAACACCAGTTTAAGTTACTGTAATAGTAGCAAGGTTGAGGCTGAAGTTTTAAACATGAAAACGCATATGTCAGACTTTTAACGCCACTTTCCTGTAAGCCTAGAAGTTTGACAATGGTGTTGGATAGTCAGTGGAATCATGCTCAACATTCGAAACGTCATTGTCAAGCTTCTAGGCTTACAGGAAAGCGTTGCTGAATGTCCAGCGACCATGTTTTTGCGTTTAAAACTTCAGCCTCAACCTTGCTAGTAGCTTTTATACAGAGGCTGAAAGCTGATGGTGACTACAAATTGGCTTGCTTGCATGGTTGAAGTACTGTATAAATGTGATATAATTGTATAGTACAATTTTAATTATATTGGTAAAAAAGGTAGAATGTACTTACAATATTTACATTGTAACACCTATTCATATAGGTTCACAAGTATATTAAAAGTGTTTTGTAATGTTCACACAAGTACATAGACTAAAAAGGATTACATTATTGTTAAACAAATTTTACAATATTAATTATATTGTATGTGACAGTGTTCTCTCTATTATTTGGTACCATTGCGAATCAATGGTTATGCTATCTGAGATGTTAACCAGTTTATCTCTAGGATATTTTAAAATCTCTAATTTTCTTTTATAGGTATCTTTTTCAGTATGTAGTATTTTTATTTCATTTCTATTTGTTTGGCAATTATTACTCATTGAATGTTTAAACCATGGTGAATTACTATATTTGAGGTGTATTGCTGCTTTGTGTTCTTTAATTTTTTTTCCAATGCTTGGCCAGTTTCACCTACGTAAATTCTAGGGCTATTACAATTGCATTAAATTTTATATATAGTTCCCTTCTTTCATAAGATCATTTTTTTGGGTCATGTTTTTATGTTGATTATTAATTCTTTTACATATGTTTTGAGATACAGTCGATCCCCCTATAAGATAGAGATACGTTCCATTCTTTAGGAATCCGATTTCTTACGAATCCTTCCAATCACAGCCCGACACGTGTAAAGTTTACGGACTACGGCTGTTTGAAAGATTTTCTTCCATAAAATTAATCGATTCTAGACTAATCAGACTCAACATTTCCAAAATACGTATATTTTTTTTTGGGAATAATCCATATAAACTACGCTATAAACAAAAAATTGTAGGATTACTTACCGAGTGTCACCATTCGACATCGCCATTGCTCAACATTGTTTTCGTCGCGGAACAGCTCAGCATACAGCGGCCGATTTCTAACAACTTATTTTTTTGCGAATAGTTCCTTGAACTTCGGAGACATCATTAATATAAATAATTTTAATCGCCGTTGAATAAGAAATGTTTCTTTCACAAGAAATGTATAAAATTACAGTACTGTATTAGACTTACG